CGTTGTCGATCACCTCGACGAAGAATACGAGCGGCTAATTCAACATCTTAATGTTAGTGCTATGAAAGCTAAGAGTTCGAAAGTCACCAAGAGACGTCTGTCTCTAGAAACGCTCGAGCTGATACGACAGCGTGGAATGGCACGAGCCGAAGGCAGCCGCGAAATAACATCGGAATTTGCAAAATAATGCAAACAGGCGATAAAAGAAGATCTTAAAGAGAGAAGAGCAGCAGTTATGGTCGAAGCTGCAGAGGCTGGGAAAAGCATTCGCAAAGCACACCGAGGCTTCGCCAATTACAAGACGAAGATTATTGCACTCCGACATCCAGACGGAACAGTTACAGCATCCAGAAAGGCAATGTGGAAAATCATTCACGAATACTACTCGGATCTCTTTGATACCCACGCCCACCCTCCGTCATATGAGATAAAGGAGTATGCGTATTATGCACCACCGGCTCCCTCTTCCGAAATTCGACATGCCATTTCGTTCGTGAGGAATCTAATAGCTACAAGTCCGGAGAGGATAAGATCAGAACACCTGAAGAACCTTCCGTCAGTCCTCATAAACACACTGGCTCGGCTCTTCACACGTTACCTGTCTGAGTCTCTACTATATGGAACACCAGCAAGACCGTGTTATTGTTCAAGAAGGGTGACCTACACGATATCGGAAACGATCGCCCAATCTGCTCTGCCGTCTACAAACTTTCCACTCGATTCATTCCAAACAGCCTTGACAGAACACTAGACGAAGGACAGCCATGTGGGCAAGCAGGATTTCGAAAAGGATTTGGTACAATGCACCATATCCACACGATAACAAGGCTCACTGAAGTATCGCAAGAGTACAGAAGACCGCTCTGTCCCACTTTCATCGATTTATTGAAGGCCTTTGATTCAATTGAGATAGAAGCAGTCATGGAAGCCCTTGATAGTCAAGGATTCCCTGCTCAGTACATAAAGATTCTTCATGTACAGAAATTTCACAACCAAGATATCAACATTCTAAAACGATGTTAACATTGACGTCGGAAGAGCGGTTAGGTAATGCGATATCATCTCGCCAAAATTATCTACCGCCACCCTCGAAAACGCCATGCAAACATTGGAATGAGATAATATAGAGGTGAAAATCGATGGTCGGCAGTTACACCATCTTTGCTTTGCTGATTACATCGACCTTATAATACCAAACATTAGCGAAGCGGAACGTATGCTTGACGACTTTGATAAAGCCTGTGGAAAAATTGGTCTTCGACTAAATCTCACAAAAACGATGTTCATGAAGAACGGATTGGTTTCGCATGCCCCATTCACGCTCAACGGAACGTATATCTCTGAATGCTCCAGCTATATCTATCTAGGTCGAGAAATCAATACCATGAACGACTTAAGTCCAGAGTTGAGCAGAAGGAAACGAGCGGCCTGGAGAGCTTTCAAGAGCATCGAGGATGTAGTGAAGAGAACAAAGAACACCCGACTCCGCACCCACCTTTTCGACTCAACGGTACTTCCTGCCCTAACGTATACGTCAGAAACCTGGTCGCTGCGTAAGCAGAATGAAAGGTCACTCTGCGTTATCGAACACGCAGTCGAAAGGGCGATGCTAGGAGTATCCCGTTCCACAAAGGTAAGGGATGGGATCCGAACCTCCGACCTGCATCAACGATCAAGAATCACAGATGTCGTTCTGTACGCCAACAGTCGAAGATAAGGTGGGCCGGACACGTAATGCGTATGAACGACAACCGATGGACAGGAGCAGTTAGTGACTGGATTCGGGATGTTATACGCACTGCAGGAAGACCACCGACAAGACCACACCGGTCAGAGTACTTTACGAACAGCCTAGAAGAAAGATATGATGCTCGACGAGTCCGTATATCGAACAGAACCCACTGGACTACTCTTGCACGCGACAGGGAAAAATGGAAGATTTACTGGCACCCGCCCAAGTCGCTCGATGGTCAAGAGGACTACAGATGATACAGGTGACAGGTGATACGGTGCTATAAGCAATCACACTCAGAAGAAGTTGCCGTCGAAATCAAAATGTTGTTGATTATTAGTAGCAGTGTTAGGGTAAAAAACTGGTTTTGGGAAAGGCAATGCAAAGGCCTCGGTTGGTGTGGTGGATACCAAGTGCGCCCCTAAAAACAGTAGTCGCAGGTTAGAAGCGCACCAGAGGCTCTAAGCTTTTGTTCATATCTCAGCATCACTGTGGTTGTATTTCAAATTTGAATACTTCCATATAACATTAAACAGGAGATATAACAGCGTAGAATATTCTAAGGCTTACTAATAGACACCAAAATTGAGTGGAAACACTCCAACGTCCCTTTAAAGCGTTATTCCAACTTTTTTTATTCCGCGCTAGCTCTCTCACCTTGTGCTCTGACGTCTACAAGCTCGCTATTAACTTGAACGAACTACAGCAACAGTCGTTACATCGACCCTGTAAAATGCAATTAGTTAGTAAGTGTGAAAATATGGCACCATTCGCTGGAAACTTTTTGTTCGCTCTTCTCACTATGCCTTTAAAGCGAACATCTACTTCGACTGTGTAAAATAGCATCTCTATATCTTAGGCAAGAATTACGACGAATTCCGTGCATTTCATCTTTATGTCTGCATGAGTGGACTAGCACTGAAATACTTAAAAAGTAAACATTTGCTTCGTCCCAAATCCATTAACCGCACCCTACGTATGATCCAGAATCCACCATTTCGAATTTCCACATTTATTAGACTTCGTAATAATCTGAAGAACCACTAAGAAGTTCAAAAAACGAAGACATAAACGATAGTGAGAACACTGCGTAAAACTAGACAATAGGCTATCAGAGAAGCGCAAAACGAAGAAACACCCTTGGGGTAGAACAATCCCGCAAAACCCGTTTCCGTACCCTGTTATAAAGAAAAACGAAATGAAGTACCTTTGTTTGATGTGCACTAAGCTCTTCCTTCTGGCCCAGCAATCTCTAATTTTTTTCCCGTCTCAGTTGCTTCAGTTCCACACATGGTGCATTCTATTAACCTCTTCATTTTGTCCACTTCTGATAATCAGATCTTTTTTTCTCTTCTAACGTCTTTGAACGCTCGTCGACAGAAGAGACTGTAATCTATCAATCTTCTGCGTTTTGTTATCTAAAAAGCTAATTTGTAACATATAGCGCTTTACTCTAGGAATTTTTCATGGGCATACGAATTTCCTCCAGAACTCCAGAATTTTGAGATTTCTTCTTCCGTTCGTCATAAATACGAGCCTCAGCAACTTCCCGCAGCAATGACAACCTGAATAGAAGCTATCAGCAAACTTGCCGCATGGTAAAAATATATAGAGATATAAACGCGTGAATAAGAACGAAACGAAATCAAATAAAAGGCACCAAAGACAGTAAATACATATATATACATATATATATATATATATACAGAGACACAAAATACACAAAGAATTTACTGGACAATATATTTGTGTAATGATGCCCTATCACCAGCAGCACGGTACTGGTTCAACCCCGCCTCAAGGTAACCGATCACTTCACCCATCCGGAGTCGGGGAATCGGTAATCGGTTTCAGATTTGTGAAATTTAACTTCAACGATGCTGAGATATTTGCAAAACTCCGGACCGCAGGTGTATGCGGTGGGGAACGAACGGGAGGGGCGGGGGAGGGGGGCCTCGGAGTTTTGCAAATATCTCAGCATCGTTGAAGTTATATTTCACAATGACAATAACCTGCCGTTAAAAAGAGTAGGCAGTAAATAATAAGCTGAAATTGGTATCAGATTTGTCTGCAAAAGATCCACTCTCTGCTATCCATACAGGAACGCTCTAGGCCGGCCGCACAAGGACCGCAGGGAGAATCGACTCCACAGCATTTGACGATATTCATAAAGATGACAATCCTAAATCAGTAGTCGAACCCACAAGCAATATATTTGAAGATCTTCGTGGATAATAGATGCGAAGAAACGAATCGAATGCAAGAAGTGCTGGGATAGGCACAGTGAATGTACCGATAAATCATGTAAAATAGAAACATACATGTGTATATATACAAACATATGCATAGGTACATATATACATATATACCATATATATATATATATATATATGTATATATAGATATATATATCTACATATACACATGCATATGCTTATATATGGCGTTCTCGTGCAGTACATCCGTTCTTTATTCAGGTCGTAGATTACTGAACTCATCGCTCAGTACGATTTAAGTCGCTGAAATTACAGATTAAATTACAGTATTTGTTCCTATTTTTTCTTTTATTTTATACGACCCATCTTCACGTCCACTGTGAGGATTCCAACACTTCTCACATTCAATTAGCCTCCTCGGATCCATCATCCACGAAGGTCTTCCAACTTTTACGCGTGGCTTCGAATGCTGCTTCAGGATTTTCATTTCACCTTGAATGTCGTAGAATGCAGATCGAGTCGATTTTCTCCGAAGGCCTGAGATAGCCGAAGGGGAGCGTTCCCAATTGGACTGCAGAGAATGATTCTTGCTGGACAAGTTCAGTACCAATTTTCCGATCTCTAAGAGATGAGAGGCTTGGTTGGTCCGGAGCGGAATCGAATTAACACCATGCTTGTTATGACCGGCATTACTACCACTGTGCTAGCCAGCCACCCCTGGCGTGTTTACTACATAATGTGAAATGAAAATATCTTCCCCAAAACTCTACTGATTGCAAAATAATCTATTAAAAAAGAAGGAGAACGAGAATGAACCAAGACCAACTGCATGCATTACTATACCTGCATTTACCCCACAGCCACAAAAAAGACGTAGTGAAAATGTCCCTTTAAATTCGGCAAGCGAACATTTCCATGTTTTGCTAGCCACCAAAGAAATATAGTTTATGGGCTCAGAGTACTTCCAAGAAAAAAAAATGAAGGCAATATAGCAACAGAACAACACCCACCAAAGAGAAAATTTGACTTTCCACTGCCGTTGGGGTCCAACGATGATACTGACCTTTGGCGAGAAGCCGTCGGTACTTACAGAATCCGAAAACATTCACCTTAAGTGAAAACGCTGGCGATTAGTTACAAAAATTAAAATACTAAGCCAAATCAACACCACATCTTCGATGTGTTTCTTTCTTTGTCAGTCTTCTTTCGATGTTTCCACCCACAAAAAACCTGGAAATAAACATTTTAATGAAGGCTGTGTTTCAAGGCAAAACAAGATTACAGAAGAACTTAAGAAGTAGGAAAACACACAAGAAAAGTGCTACTGTTTCACACAAAGGTTAGAGAAAATTCCAGCTCTCCAGGGATTTAGTGCTACAGCATGATGACTTCTTTACAAGCTGAAAAGACATCTGATAATTGGTATTGGTGGCAGTACTACCAACAGTACCAGCAGTACTAGTAATACCGATAACACTAACACTGATAAGTTCTAAACGACTCAAATTTTTAAGGTAATCAACTTCATAGCCGGTTCCGTTAGTGGCGAGCAGCTACAGTACCTGTACGATGTTCATTAGAGCATAGAATCCTTCACTTCGAGTGGCACTCTTGGAGCTATGTTGACGTAATTTGAAGTCGTTCCACAAACTTAAGGAGGTCCTGTAGGTGAATTCATTTTTCTTTCTTTTATTTTTCTTTAAACCTAGTAAAAGATATGTTGGGGTATTCAGAATGTGCGTTCGGTGTTAGCTAAGAACCTGGTTTATGCCATTTTTGAAGTACACCTCGGCCATATAGAAACTTTAGGTGATAGCAAATGCTGGAAGCATCTCCTCATCAGATTTTTATTAACAGGACCTGACCACAGCTTGTGTAGGACAGTTGTTAGAGGTGCCGGGCTACAGATGCGTGGTCTTTGGTTTGATCCCGCTCCTCGAACTCACCTAGTATGCCATCCCTCCGGGTTCCAAAATCGTCTGGGAGGGTAGCAACACCGACTTGTTACATCAGTAGGTCACCACAGTTGACTGTTTAGGTCAGATATGAATTCAGTCATATCTGTGATGCAACGAATGGAGTAAAATACATTGCGCAACCCCTCAGGGATTGATTAACACCGAACCCTTTGCCGTTTATCCTTTAATAGATTGTGACGTCATCATAATGTCGTTTTAGCTTCGATTTAATCGTCCGCAATCTTCTTCTTTACTATTTTCATTCAGTTTTTCATCGTGGTATCCAAGGTTCAGGTGAACAGAAGTATTGGCGCTTGGTAAGGCGTTGAATTAGGAATTCATAGGGACCATGAATGTGTTTTTCAAGATTTTAATGGCATGACTGACGTTTTTCTAACAATAAATAAAAGGGATAAAGCTCTCAGTGTTGATCAATCCTGGAGGGATGCGCCATGCATTCGACTTCATTAAGCATCGTTGGAGGTGACTGAATGCATATCTGGCCTTTAAAATGACTCGCGGTAGCCTACTGATATATCGAGCTAGTGCTTCTATCCTTCGATACTGGTACCAATTTTCCGACCCTCGGAGGGATGGAAAACTTGGTGGGCCAGGAGCGCGGGAATCGATCCCACGTGTGTTGCAGAGCGCCTCCGACCACCACTGCGCAACACGCGCACCTCTCTAACAATAATTTAACGAATTTCAGAATGGGAAACGTAAACTCTTCGTCGAGTTCTGCCGATGTGCTCCCTGTTGAGTATTACCTCAACGATCTAGCATGTGGCGAACCGATTGAAAGGTGTGTTACTGTTTGTGACCTCCCCATTTCCTTTGTTCTTCGATTACTGTCCAGAGTGCTATCACGGTAAACGCTTCCTTAGGAGGTCTAGAAGCCTAGGAATTTTCATTCAAATACGAAAACTGATACATGAAAACCTTTCCAACGGTTAACCGTCTCATCGTGGCTGGGTGTTCCTGGGTTGTCGGTGTGCGATGTGCAACAGGGGATTCGTCCACGCAGCAGGGTCTCCCAGGCTAGGAAGGAGTCCGGCGTTTCCATCAGGCTAGGAGTAACCCAATATCAGGATCCACCACTATCCTGGTATCAAACTAGTGGCATGGTGGCAAATCTCACTCTGATCCACAAGAGCTGCGACTGCCTGTGGTGAGGACCTGGTGCAGAATTTGGCCAGGCTGACCTCGGGATTCCAAGGAAGCTCAATGGCTTAACAAGCAAATCTCCGAAAAATGGTGATTATGCTGGGGTCTGCACAACCAGTGAGGACGGGCCGTTCAAGTATCCGGATAAGTAGGGTATGTGGAAACAGTTGTTCGTGTAATGCTGAAGAGCAAAGGTTTTTGCTAGGTAAGGTGTAAATCTTATTGCTGTCTGCCTAAACTAACTGAGGAAATGAGTAAAACAAGTAGGTAGACTAGGTTTCCTGTTTGTTTTTCCTGGAGGTTCTATATGTAGTTTCATCTACAAAGACTAATTTTGAATATTATTTACCACGAAGTGCCTTTTAGTCTCGGAAGCACCCGTTTCATGAAGGTTGCCAGAGGTCGCAATAGCGAAGGAGCCTGTGTTTGGAAGGTTTTCTTGACGCAGGTAGACTAAGAAGTCCAGGGTTTAAATGAAATTTAAGGAGTTTTCTATTTCCATAGCAAATATAGCGCTGTCTTTCGTTACATAGGAAAGTCATAGGTTTGCAGGAAGATGCCATCGTCTACGAACCATATCGTAAAGGAGTGTTTCGGATACGAGATGCTCTCGTAAATGCGCCAAATTGTTGTGTCATGAAGAGGATCTACGTTAGCGTTCTTGATATTTCTTCTCCGAAGAGCCGTTCTATCAAAATCAACACGAAAATCGCTCAGGTGACTCCAAAATGGGCCGTTTTAATACGTCCGTTCCAGAAGCAAACGCTCTGTGATCGACTGAGTACAAGACCTTACATTATTCAGCAAGAAAAAATATGGTGAGTAGGTACCTTTCTTATAATAGTTGTACGTTATTCCTTCGAATATTTAATGATATGTTTCGGCCTATATAGGGGCGCGTGTAGCACAGTGGTCAGAGGAGCCCTGCAATGCACATGGGATAGGTTTCTGCGCCCCAGATGCACCAAGCCCTTAATCCCTCCGGTGTCGACAAATTAGTACCAGACTTGCCTGGTAGGATAGTAGTATTGGCTCGATAAATCGGTAGACTAGCGTGAGTCATCCTAAATCCCAGATATGCATTCAGTCACCTCCAACGATGCTTAATGAAGTCAATTGTATGGCGCATCTCTCAGGGAGAGATCAACGCTGAGACTTTTGTCTTTTTTAGCTTCGGCCTATGGTATCTCATTGGTCTAGGATTACGGCTGATATCACATACTCATCATAGTAATTCTTTCATTAAGAAAGTAGGTAAAAATTACTACTTCCTGTGGGTCTTACTGCGGTCCCATAAAAAGAGTGAAGCTCTCATTGATCAATCTCTGAAGAATGCGCTATGTGTTCGACTTCGCTAAGTATCGTTGGAGGAGATTGAATTCATGTCTGGCGTATACAATGATGACTCACAGTGGCCTACGGATGTGTCGAACCAGTGCTCCTATCCTCCCAGACAAGTCTAGAACCAATTGGCCGACCTGGGAGTGATGGAGGGCTTGATGTACCTGGTGCGCAGGGATCGATCCCATCTGTACTGCAAGGAGCCTGTGACCATTGCGTCCTCATTTAGTTTCTTTTTAGAAGTCTTCTTTTGAAAATGAAGATTGGGCCGCTTTCTGATAATTCTCTGATTTCAGGTACATATACCAAATTTTCAAGGCACTAGCACAATGCCAGAAAGCAAACGTATGCCATGGTGATCTGAAGTCACAAAATGTTCTCATTTCTTCGTGGAATTGGCTACAAATTACTGACTTCGCGCCATACAAGCCTTCATATCTGCCTCATGTGAGTCCAGAGATGATGTTCGCTCAGTGAGACTTCAAAATCCCGATTCTATTGATTCTTTCCAAGTGACGGTATTACGGTATTGATTGCTAAGAAAAAGAAACAAGATCGCTTACCGTAATGGCATCTGGACGTTTATTCTTCTAAATCTTCACTAAAAGGATGTTTTAGGCCGCAAACAGAATAATGTGTACTTGCTTAAGCCAATGGTCCTAGATCACGAAGCATTTCATGGACCTTAACATATTTTATATCAAAGTATGGCATTGTTTATCTTTTTCAATAACAAATAGACCACGCTATGGAGTCCTCATTTCTTTACCACGGGAACTCGCTGATGGCCTTTGCAGTTCGGACGAAGATATACCGCCTTGAGAATAGCTTTACTCCAAAGGAGCGGTGGTTTTGACCAAGCCGCTTGTGTGGCCCTAATGTGGATTGAGATCTTACAACATCACCGTTCGACTTTCAGGAGTGTAGGTAGCTATTTTTGTTCAGATGTACGTCTTATTTCTGAAGGCGTTCTTACTAAGTTAACCAGAGACCTGGAGGTGGTTGCAGCAACGTTTATGACTGTTGGGCCGTACTATGAATTAAATCACTAACTTGAATTAGTAGGTGTTTCACTAGCTTCAGTGGAAGGTGAATGGTTATTTGTCCATTGTAAGGTCTGTCTGACGAGGAATTTTCCTGAATTCAGCTCACGTTAGATTTCGTGTCCAAAAAGAACACGGATTACTTACGAGAATCGGAACCCTAACTTTATACACAAAGCTCTTCAGAATATCCAGTGCTGACATGTGATCAGGCTTGTTTTCTCCAGGATAATCCATCATCATTCACATTCTTCTTCGATACAAGTCGTCACCAGCACTGTTATTTGGCACCCGAGCGTTTCCTTTCCTCCGTTGACTACGAAATCAATCATAAGGAGAAAGGAGATGAGTGGCTTTTTGGTGAGTGATGTTATTGGAAAAATTTAATAAAATCTTTGATTTTCTGGATTCTAGGTTCACTCGAGCACTCTATGGATCTATTCGCTGCTGGTTGTGTCGTTTACGAGTTGCTTCATGAATCAGGAAAGCCACCATTTTCATACGGGGAACTGTGCAACTACAAGCTAATGTCAGACAGCGAAGCAGCAGCATTTGTGGAAAGGTTAGGTGAACTTCTTCATCGGCTTGAAAACCTTGTAGGGCGAATCGCCTTCCTATTTCTTTGTTGTTGAAATGTTAGGCTAACGATTACTCAAGTAATAGACCTGGAGATCTCTTCATTTTAGGTTGCTGCTAAGTATAGCACCACAATACCGACCTCTCTTAAAAATGTTGTTGTCACGTGATCCATCAGTGCGGCTTACAGCACAGCAAGTGGTGAGTGTGTCAATACAGGAGTTTAGTTCTTTTAAATAAAGTTCTTATTTTAGTTGGATGGCTCAGTTCTTCATTTTCCAAAGGTGTTAGACGCGTTCTTTAGTTATCTCAATGCCTTTCGTCCTAAAGATATAACTACTTCGCAGTCACTGGAAGGATTCGAACAGTCCCATATAACTTTTCACCTTGAACCCGACGATGTTGTAGCAAAGTAATGTTTAATTATTTATTCATAATATGTTTCGCCTTACCCATCGTCACATCTATGCGGATACCAGAAATTCTTGAATTAGATTCGTTTCCTCAAATCTATCATCCACTGAGGTCTTCGAACAGTTTACATGGGGATTCGGTTGCCGCTTGAGGGTTTTGTCTTCTTAATGAATGTCGTTGAATGCTAGTCAGATCGATTCTCCCTGAAATCCTGGATAACTCATTAGAGCATTCCGACTTGGATTGGAGAGAGTGAACAAGCATAGACAAAACTAGCTGAGATACAGGCGAAACGAAAGATCCGCATGGCGTGGTGGTGAAAGCGTAGCACCCGGTAAAGGTAATAGCGCGTTCGTTCCCCGCCCCAGACACCTGCCGTCCAGAGTTCTGCAAATATCTCAGCATCATTGTGGTTGTACCACACATAGTACCCTGGTGTGAAGAACTGTGATGGGTAGTAATTAAAAAAGTTAAAATTGTGGTTTCGACTGCATCCTCAGGTTAACTGGGTTCATCGCTCATTTGGGCTCTGGTCAGTCCCGATGATTACTTATGGTATTGGTAGATAGTAATCACATACATTTCTGGTATCAATTTTTGAACCCTGGTTGATGAGAGACTTGGGGAATCCGATGAGAACCATCATGGTGCTAATGATGAGCGACATCGCTACCGCTAAGCTTTCTCTCCTTAAATCTTTTTAAATAGCTTATTGCAAAACGATTGTCTTAAATAATGCCTCAAAGAAAAGCGATAGTCGGCAGTCGATTTGCCAGTTGTTCGAATGTTTTAAAATAGACAGCAATGTGAAGTACAGCATAGCAGTTAAATCTGGAGACTACAAATGCTATTATGGACAAAATTTAATCTTTATTTATTTAAAACTCTTCTTTGCTTTCATAAGACCTTGAAACGCTTTCCAGTTCTCATTTGTTCATAAGCCTTTTAAAGAAATATTTCTGATTGTGTGGTTTATACAACGACGCCATATTGTATTCTTTTCTATACTTATATTACCCTTCTTCACATGGTCACCAAATCCCGGCACTTTCTTCATTCTGACTTTTGTCTGGTATCTGTCAATCGTATGATAGCTGGGCTATAGCTATGCCCCGATGCCAGCTAATTTTGAGGAATGTCTGGTACAAATTTTTTGACATCTTCTTTGTGACAACGGGAAAAATAGATAATTCTTGCGCTTAACTGGTACGTTTTAAACTTTTTGAAACTGTTATGCAGCTTTGGGGAGGAGCTAGCGCAATGGCTACTGGTGCCGTGGATCAGAATTCAGAAGCGTAAATTCCAGCTTCTCTCCAATACTCTCCTCTAGTCGACGTAGGAATCGCTTACCCCGTCTGTCTCCAAGATTGCAAGGAGCACAATTCCACCAGCATCTTAGGCTATTCATGTGGAAGAACGAATCATCAAGCAACAGCCGAAACAACAACTCAGATATTCGAAGACCATTGTGGACGATAAGTGCATGGCAAGGGAAAATGAATCCAGTTCAAAAATGCTGGGACTCGTTCATTGTGTGGTGACGGCTCATGTAAATGTAGATAAATGTAAAATCATGTTACTTTACCTGGGGTTAAACGGTTTAATATCGTGGTCACATGCTACGAAAGCATTATATTATGTTCATAGATGTAAAATTGCCCTCGTATTCTTTACTGATAATAAGGTTCATTCATTTCCAGGCTGAAACGAGACGAGAAATCCATTTGGCAACGGCTTACTGAATGTGAGGAAAACCATCCCTATGCTGTGCTCTTCATTTCACTCATCACAGCCAACATCCGTGTGTTACGAGGCGTTCCAGCTAAAATCGTGTGTTTCGGTCTCTTTAAACGTTCGATTTTAGTTTTTGGACCAAGCAGTGGTAATTAAAATTACTTTCTCTTCTAATTTCTGCGTGCAGTGCAGTGGTCGGAAGCGCCTTGCTAAACACATGGGATCGACCCCTGCGCTGCAGGCTCATCAAGCCTTCCATCCGTCCGAGTTCGGCAGATTGGTACCAGGCTTGTCTGGAAGAATAGCACCACTGGCTCGATACATGGGTAGGCCACCGCAAGTCGTCGTGAAGGACAGATATGCACTCAATCGCCTCCAAGGATACTTAATGAAGTTGAAGAGATGGTGGACCCCTCAGGAATTGGTCAACGCTGAGAGCTTTATCCTTTATTACTTCTTTTATTTTTGTTCAACTTCCAGCGCTAATATGTTCTGCAGGTAGACCTGCCCTTAAGGTTGTTTCCATACTTTTTATACAGTGAGTGCGTTTAGGTGTTCTTCATGTTAAAACGACTAAAAAACAAGCAATTAGTTTCTTTCGTAAACAACAAACCCTTGATTGATTCCAAAAAGGCGGCTATATCTTCAAATAAAGAGAAAATCCTGAGGCATCTACTTGTTTTTTCATGACATCTAACTAAAAAAATCTCTGCAACGTTCGCAAGCATGTGCCGTAAAACACCTTATTCGACTGAATAAATATTTAGCCTGTTGAAGTAGTTGTGAAGATTTTTTCATCCTGAAGTGTTTTTCAGGATGCCATGAATATGCTTGTCAAGTTGTCCTCGCTTTGTGTTCCTGTGGTGGCAACTGAACGCATACTTCCTTACTTGGTTAGTTTTTCTGGTCATAATTCTTTTTCCCAGAATCATTCGTTTCTTTTTGTCAGGTATCGTCCTTATCTGAAGTCGATGCCCAAGTACGTGCTGCAGCAGTCTATTCAATCACAGAGCTCTTACGACCAATTGAGCCGACCACCTTCGAAGATTCTCTTATCTTCATCGACTATCTTCTGCCAGAATTGGTTAGTTAAAATGCGTTTGCGATTATGTAGTCTTTGATCAAAGCTACTTGTAGCGCTCTACTGCTCACTTTCAGTCCTCAATGCTGAGTGACAAGCGACATCCTTGTCCGACTCATGTTCTTCTTGCTGTTGCAACAAATTTGGGAGATCTTGCTGAAACTGCCTATAGGTAAATTTTGATTTGCGATCAATAATACTTTAGGAAACGATGGTCCTGTAGTAGAGTTTTCATCAACTTTTTGAGTTTTTGGAGTTTGATGGAAGTCCAGCTTTGTTAATTTCTCGTTTCTTTGCTCTTTCTTATTGTGTGTTGTGACATGGGGCGTCCTCCCAACGTTTTACCGCCTCATCGTGACTGCGGGGTGTTTCTCACTGTAGAGCTGTGATGTATAGCGAGGGGATTCGTCCCTTCGGCAGGGTTTCCCAAGCAGAGAAGGAGCCCTGCGTTTCCATCCGAGGCCCAGCTAGGAGCAAACTAATACCAGGGTACACCACGATCCTGTTGTCAGAATGATCGCATGGTGGCAAATCTCCCTCTGGTCTACAACGGCTGCGACTGCCGGTGATGGTGACGACCTGGGGCAGATTTTACTCAGACTCTCCTCCGGACTCCAATGAAGCACATTGGCTAAGTCAGCAAATTTCTGGAGAATGGAAATTATGTGGGGCTCACCAGTGAAGACGGGCCATCCAGCCATCCAAGTATCCAGGTAAGTGACATTAGGCGTAGTCCTCTATATGAAGTACTTCCTTTAGCGATTTTGGTTCATTTTTATTTATACTGTATCGTTTTGTTAAGATTTTACGTCATTGGTAATAGTTTACGCAGTGGAATACTAGACGATGAGATTTCTGGTGCTGAAAACGTTTCCGGTGAGCAAAGATTCTCTATCTTCTACCAGAAAATTTCTCCACTTTCATCCAATTTGCAGAAGCTCAACAGGCAGCGGATGAGAAGGGAGCTCTTCAGAAGGCGCTCAGCGATCTTTTCGAAATGCTTTGCAGCAGTCAAGAGAATAGTGTACGGCACTGTGCTGTCAATCGTAATTCCTTAGAAAAGCTGTATACATTTTTTGGAAGGATGAACTGTAAGTTTTGGTCCATGGTAGTTTCTATTTTTTACATTATGTGAGCAATTAAATGCTTTTTTAGGTGGAGAAATATTGCTGCGGCACATGATTACTTTCCTAAATGTAAAAAGTGACTGGCGGCTGCGAGCTGCATTTTTCGAATCGTTGCCGATATGTGTGCAGAAGAACAGCTTTGATGTAAAGCCGCTGTTACAGCAGGTGCTCCTTTTATTAGTACCTCCATGCAAATTTTCATATATATATATATATATACATATATATAGGGGGCGGATAGCACAGTGGTAGTGGTGTCCTTCGTCACGAGCAACGAGCATGGTGCTAGTTCGATTCCTCTCTGGGCCAACCAAGCCTCGTCCATCCGGACCTGGGATATTGCTACCGGGCTTGTCTGGGGAAAAAAACCACTCTCTACAATCCAGTTGGGAACGCTCCAGCCCGACTCTCTCAGGGTTCCAGAGAGAACTGCTCGACCAGCATTCTACAACATTGAAGATGAAATGAAGATCCTCAAGCAACAGCCGAAGCCACACATAAAAGTTGGAAGGTCTTCGTGGACAGTGGATGCGAGGAAACGTATCGAATGTGAAAAGTGATAGAATCCGCATAGTAGACGTGAAGACAGGTCATATAAAATAAAAAATATATATGCATACATACATGTAACCATAATGATGCTGAGATATTTGCAAAACTTCGGATTGCTGGTCTCTGCAGTGCGAACCGAACACGCAACTACCCTTTCCGGAGATTAGCGCGTTCACCACCACACCATGCTAGTCCTTTGTTTCGCCTTTCTCTGGGTCGTGTTATTGATAGGGGCTATAGGAGCTATCAGCAATCACCCGTCAACGGCATTGATCTGGAGATCACAAGCGGGCGTTGAACTCAGTCGAGCTGAAGCGGTGGTAAAAATTATACGTATATATATATATATATATATATATATATATATATACATACATGTATATATATACACATGTGTATATAGCCACTTTTTTATCGCATTCTTTAATTGGATATTGGATTGACCAGTTTTCTAGCATCGTACAGGCAACGTCACCTATTCCATTCAACTAGCGTTTTGTAAGTTGAAACTTTGGGATGTCACCATCCCTTGCAAAGAAGTTTACCACTTCGCTATAAGCATTTTCTCTGAGAGAGCAAAAATTACTAGTATTGGCTCCTACTTATCTAGGCTTTTTAGAACGAATTCCACAACATAAGTAAGTGGGGCATAGTCCATATCGTTACGTAGCAGTTCGATTATTAAACCATCTTGATGACATCATCCAAGTTGATTTTGATATTTTCCATCTTTAGTGTTTGGTTTTCTGTCTAGGGACTACATGATTTTGAAGAGCTGATTGTGGTACACGCTGTACATTGCATCACTGTGCTTGTGGAGACAGCTGTCTTAGGACGTAACGAAGTTTTGGAACTTTTGGAGGACACACTACCTTTTCTTTCACACCCCGTGAGTTCATTTACACATTTTATTCTCAAAGGAACTCTGTGCACAGTGGTAGTGATGTCCATCATCACGTGGACGGTGCTGCTTCGATGCCTCCCCAAGCTCACCAAGGCTCTCAAACGTCTGGGGTTGGGGAATTGGTAGCCGACTTGTCTGGGGAAAAAATAACTGTCTGCAATGCAGGTGGGAACGCTCCAGCCCGTATATCTCAGGACTTCAGGGAGAATCGACTCGACCAGCATTCTCCGACATTCAAGATGAGATTAAAATTTTCAAACAGCTACCGAAGCCACACGTGAGAGTTGGAAGACCTTTGTGGATGGTGGATGGGAGGAAACGAATCGAATGTGGGAAGTGCTGGGATCCGCATAGTAGACGTGAAGACGGGTCGCATAAAGATAAAAATGAAAAAAATTTATACATGTGAGAACAGAAATTTCTTGAACAACTGAATGCAATATCGGCTGACTTAAAATAATTTACCGTACCCATTTTTAGCTCCAGATAACCTTAAAATGAGTTGCGTTGGTAGATGAGGAATGAATTGCGGTTTGAATATAGAACAAAAGCAATCACATATTATGTCAGATGGAAATTTCTGTATTATTTCAAAAATTTATTGTTGATATGGTCAACACCAAGAAACATTTTCCTCGCAGTGTGGGTGTCATGCAACATCACGTTGTGACCCACGGATTAGAATGGAACGAGCAGGGTGAGCCGCTATCTGACTTTATCATGACGATCAAAACCATTCGTGGTAGTCCATAATTCCAGAAGTCCCACCCTCAACGCTGGACGCGGGAGTCTCCCAATGGAGAGTACCATCACGGGATCAGACCATCGCCTCTTTCGTGCAAGATTCGATGTCTCGCAAAAAAGAGAAAAATCCGCTAAACTCGAACACCAAAGTCCCAAAACCACTATAAACTGGGACTTATTCAATTCATTAGTCGGTTAAAGGGAAGATGCCGTTGTCGATAACATCGACGAGGAATACGACCGGCTCATTCAACATCTTCACGTTAGCGCTAGGAAAGCTGAGAGTTCAAAGGTCACCAAAAGATGTTTGTCTTCCAGAAACACTTGAGCTGATAAGCCCAGCATGGAATCTCACGAGTTGTAGGCAACCGCCAACTAAGGTCCGAACTTGCAAAACAATGCAAACAGGCGATAAAAGATCTTAGAGAAGAGCAGCAGTAATGATCGAAGCTGCAGAGGCTGGGAAAAAGCATTCGCAAAGCCCACCGGAGTTTTGCTAATTGCAAAACCATCACTCCGATACCCAGACGGAAGAGATACAAAATCCAACGTGCTGTTTTTTTGGTAAAAACTCGAACAGCACGTGGTCCGGACAGGACAAGACCTGAACGTCTGAAGAACCTTCCGACAGTCCTCGTAAACACACTGGCTCGGTTCTTCACACGTTGCCTGTCTGAATGCAAGGTCCCTTTTCAGTGGAAAACCAACAAGACCGTGTCATTGTTCAAGAACGGTGACCTACACGATATCGGGACCTATCGCCCAATCTGCTTACTGTCTGTCGTCTACAAACTTTTCACTCGAGTCATCCTAAACAGGATTGACAGATCACTGGACGAAGAGTAGCCATGTGAGGAAGCAGGGTTTCAGAAAGGGTTTAGTACGATGGACCACATCCACACGGTAATAAGGCTCATTGAAATATTACAGTGGTACAAAAGTACAAAAGTCCACTCTGTCTTACTTTCATCGATTTAAAAAAGATTTTTAACTCAATTGAGGTAGAAGCAGTCATAGAAGCCCTTGACAGTCAGGTAGTCCCTACTTAGTATATAAAGATTTTTCGTGAGGTGTATAAAAATTTCACGCTGAAGATATCACCATTCTACAGCGATATTAAGGTCGACGTCGGAAAAGGGGTTAGGCAAGGCGACAATGTCTCAAAATTTATTTATCGCCATCCTCGATAACGTCATGCGAACGTTAGAATGGGACAATATACGAGTGAAGATCGATGGTAGACAGTTACACCATCTTCGCTTTGCTGATGACATCATTCTCATAATTTAACGCGGAGGACTGACCAAAGTGAAAGAATGCTTGCGCGCATTCACAAGGCCTGTAAAATGACTGATCTTCGATTAAGTCTAACAAAAACGATGTTCGTGAGGAACGGATTGGTTACGTGTGTTCCATTCACACTCAACGGAGCGAATATCTCTGATTGCTTCAGTTACATCTGTCTAGGTCGCAGAATCAAGAAGATGAACGAGTTAGCTTTAATGTTGAGCAGGAGGAAACGAGCGGCTCGGCAAGCTTTCAAAAGTATCATCGAGGATATAGTGACGAGAATAAAGAACACCCGATTCCATATCAACACTTTCGACCCGGCGATTCTTTCTACCTTAACATTACGTTAGGAACCTGATAGCTACGCAAGTAGAATGAAAGATCACTTAGCGTTATTGAACACGCATTCAAAAGAGCGATGCTAGGAGTCCTCCTAACGGTTTACCGCCTCATCGTGGCTGGGAGGTGTGTCTGGGTATCAAGCTGCGATGTACAGCAGGGGATTCCTCCCCTGGCAGGGTCTCCCAAGCTGAGAAGGAGTCCGGCGTTTCCATCAGGA